AAAACATGAGTCTTCCTGACTCTAGGCCTAGTACTCTATCCACTGTGCCACCTAGCTACCCCAGTGAAAATATTATCTATGTTGAACAGAGGAGGACATTGAAGCTCATAGTAGTTATTTCTTGACCAAACACAGCTATTATGGTTACATATTTAAAAAACCAAACAAAACGAAACAAAAAACAAACAAAAAACACAAACCTCCAAAAAATATAATCCAGGCAAATAGCATAGGAGAAAGGGCACTACATTTGTGGCCCAGAAAATCTGAGTCTGATCTTCGACTCTGTGATAGCCCCTGTGACCTTGGATAAATTGCAAACTCTCTGAGTCTCAGTGTCTTCATATGCAAAAGGAAGAGATTACATTAGATAACTGTAAGGTCCCTTCAAGGGTCTGCTATCTATGAATCTATGGTAAAAATTTCTGGCACTCAGCCAGGCTAAAGGAGGAGCTATTGTGGTGTTAGGCCAGGGTAAGTGGGTACTCTGACATAGGTCTGCTTCTGCCCCTTAGGGCACTGCCTGAGCATACAATCAAAACTATTACCTCTTGCACCCTTTATTCCTGATGTTTTTTCCTCTTCTTGATGCAGCAATTCTAGTATCATTTAGTGCTTGGCACTGTGCCTGGCATATAGTAGGCACTTAATAAATGCTGGCTGATTAAGTAAGATACCCTAGATCTTTGTCAAATAAGCAAATAAATGATGTTTATAGGAGGATATAGCTAATATTTAGCTTTGAAAGGTGCTCCCTAGTTGCTCCTAGGAAAAAAATAATTCTAAATGTGGAGAGGAATTTGTGTTCTATCCTCTTCTTGGGGGAGTCAGTTTGGCACAATGGATGGAGAACTGCTCTTAGAATCAGGAAGAACTGGGCTCAAGTTTGGCTTCTGATACATATTGACTTTGTGACCCTAAGTAAATCACTTAATCTCTCATTGCTCTGGGAAATTCTCTAAAACAATGCATTACAGAGAAAGCATTGATTTGCATTGATAGGAAGAGTTCATTCATCTACATATTCCCTATACCAATGAAATCACAGATCTGGTCCCTACCCTTATCCTACCTGTGGTAAAGAGCTTATGGTACATTCTTCTTGGAGGTTAGTCTAAGGAAGACACTCAAGAGGAAAGCAAGATCCTATCCTAGTCCTGGAGCTGCTGTTCCAATACAGATTAATGCCATAGTATTTCTTTGCTAAATGTGTGGGCAGGGAAAGGGAGATCTAGTAGCAAGAGCAGTTGCTAGGCTAAGCTGCTTCTGTCTTAAGTAGCATGGATCAGATCTGGCAGGAAGTGAGGAGTTTAATTGGTAGATGAGACATCAGAGCAGTAGGATGCTCCTGGAATAGCACTGCTGACTGTTAGCCTTTGTTCTTCTACAGCTCCCCCTTCACTGGGTGAAAATGATGGGAGAGTTTAATGAAGAACCGCAAAGGTGATACCGATAATGAAGCACTCATTCCACCAGCTCTAACAGGTGTTAGAAACATTCTTTGTTGCCACCTTCTGATGAAAGACACTTGAGTTTCATTGTATTCTCAACCATTTTCAGACCTGTGCCTTTGAAAGTAATGTTGGCATGCATTTCAGTTTGTCTCCCTGAAATAGCTTTGATGTTCATCATTTAAAGACGTGTGTTAGAACAAGAATGCTTTCCATTTTTGGCCAAGCTCTTTTTCCATGAATGAGGATCTTGTTTTCACATCTTGAATATGGAAAGTCCAAATCAAATGGGAGCTGTGACTTCAAATTGAAATTTTCTAATTCAATACAAGTTGAAAAACACAGTTATTAATGGTATATTATTTGCAAGTCACTGTCTTAGGTCCTGGGAATACAAAAAGAAAAGAGCTAAGAATCTCTGCTTTCAAGAACCTTTCAAGACCCTGGAGGATATGGCAAGGACAGAGATAAATAAATACAAAATAATTTCAGGAAATAAAAGTCACTAACAATTGGAGGGAATCAAAAAAAGTGTCACATAGGAATTGGAACCTGAATGAAGTCTTAAGATGACTCCGTATTGCTTCTAGGGGAAAAAAAAATACAAACTCTTCTGCCTGAATTTTAAAATTACGTGCCTAAAGCCATTTTAACAAGCATTTGCTTTCTTTCCTTTTCCACTTGTGGTGGCATACAAAGCCCTTATAACAAATATACATCAACCAAAATGATTTCCTCTATTACCCATGTCCAAAAATGTGTGTCTCATTTGGTCTGTGTCATTTAGCTTTCTCAATCTGAGATTTAAATCTTTCTTTACAGATTGGTTTGTTGTTGATCCTCTTCACTTGTTCTGTGATCCGGCTAAATTGTCCTCCTAGTTATTCTTCAACCCCAGTGTACCATTTCTTATCTCTGTACCTTTGTGCAGGCTATCCTCAATTTCTGAAATGTATTGCAACCTCACTTCTGCTGCTAGAAATCCCTGCCTTTCTTTCAGCTGGTTTCCTTTTCTTATGGTAAACCTCTCCAAATCTTCCTAGTTGTTGGTACTTTCTTCCTCCTGCAATTGCTTTCCATTTGCTTATCTCAGCAGAAGGTGTGGCATCCACATCCAATAGAAGCTAAACTCTTTGAGTCAGAGAGAGAACTAGAAATTCTGATGCTGAGGCAAGTGGATGCAAGAAGAGGCAGTTTGATTGCTAATGGGTAGTCATGGGGCAAGAAGGAGCCATCCTTCTTCTACATCATCTTCTCTTGGGCCTTGCCCTCCCTTTCAATCAATATGCCTTTCCTTAGTTACAATTCCACCTTGAGGGAACGGACCTCGTCCTTTGTATCCTTGTATCCCCAGCACCTGTACTATGTCTTATATGTAGCAATAGTTTAATCAATGTTTGTTTACTTGAGAGGAAGAAGTGAGTGTATTGTAAGAGGCTGAGAAGTAAAGATGGAGCACATTTCAGGCAAAGCCTTAGGTCTGGATTTCCAGTATTCCAATCACTAAAACTCTTTTTAATTTTTCAATTGGGATCTTACTCTAGGATTGTATCATCATAGATTTAGAGATTTAAGGGACCTTCAAGATCATCTAGACCAGAGTCCTCACTTTACAGTTGACAAAACTGAGGCCCAGGAAGTTTAAGTAACTCATCCAGAAGGTGGGAAGTGGTCATTTGATCAAAATCATGGTTAAGGGCTCGAGTAAGTGATGTATTTTAAAGGCATAACGATTACAATGAGTCAATTATCAAACAATTATTAAGAGCTTCCTATGTGTCTTTTGTCTTTTAATTATTTCTATTTATCCTATATATTGTTCAATTTGTATATAATTGTTTGTGTGCTGTCTTCCCCATTAGATTGCAAGCTCCTTGAGGACAGGGACTATCTTTTGCCTCTTTTTGTTCCCTCAGCACTTAGCACAGTGCTTGGCACATAGTAGTTAATAAGTGTTGCTTGATTGATTGAAGACCCTATGTTAAGCTCTGGGTATGCAAACATACTAAAAATAAATACTTCTTGCCATGAGGAAGCTTAAATTCTATTGGTCACATAAGACTTTTAAGGTCCTTTAAGGCTGACAAAGCACTTTCTTTGAAACAACATAGAGAGGTGGATAGTGGAAATAATTATTTTTTCCATTACAAATGAAGAAACTGAGGCTCAAAGACTTTGAGTAATGGGCCCAGTGAGATTTCAGAACTCCTCCTGATTCCAACTAGCACTCTGCTGACTGCACCACACCCATTGTCAAACAGACTTGTGAGGATAGCCTTTCATTGACATCACATTAGCTCCTGCCAATTCTACAAAGCAAGGTATAAAATATTTTCTTCTGAGATTTTAAGGCTCAGTAGCTCTATAATAAACTTCAAAGAACTGAATAAACTCCACACGAATTGTAAATTACTCTAGCACACTAAGCCCTACAGGCCTGGTGGAAAGGTGAACTCTGGGAGAACTAAGTGTGAAAGATTTCCCCTTCCTCCTTCCTGATGAGTCATTTATCTACTTTGTTTTTATGACCTTGTTTGTATCTAGAGAAATATTCCTAATAAACAGAATTCAAGATTAGGTTTATGTCCCATATTTCATGAAGAATTGGGGAATTGGAAGTGTGAAGTGAAGAGGAAAGAAGAAGTTACGGTAGGCATTTGAAGTCATGCCAACATAAGTGCGATTTCAGGAGGTCTTATCCAAGGACCATTCTACCTTTATTATCCATTGAAAAACAAAAAATATATGCATATCTTCCCTACAAATGCATGAAATTCCACTATTAGTCACATATCCCTTTGTTAAAGTTATTCCTTTACTGGTGTTCCTTTTTTTTTTTAAAGTAAAATGTAAATAACTGGAAGAAATTGACATGTTAAAGTCCCCATATCTCAGAGAATAGATTTATACTAATTCATACATTTATTTGTTGAAACCCAACTATGTGAAAACCATATGATTTATCATCTCCGATAAATTCATTAAATACTTCCCAGTGAGTTTAAAAAAAAGAAAAAAACATACTGGAAGCCTAGGGGAGATGGGTTTGAGTGCCCATAGGAAAGAGGAGTAAGCTTTATATATTTCACATTTTTTTGTCTAGGGTTGTCCCTGAAGTTAAAATTGCCAGAAGTTTCCAGGTAGCCCACTTTTAGGATTAATGTCCCAGGTGATTCTTCTTTAAGGAATCCTACTGGATCCAGAAGGCCTAAAGAGTTATTTTTTGTGGCAAATAGCCAAGACCAGCGAGGTCTGTTTTGGATAAGTCAACCTGGGTTCTAGGCAGAGATTTTCTGTGATCTGGGATTTTCTTTATATCACACACAGCTGTAAAGAAGACATGCCATATTCATTCTTTGAAACTTTTTATGCATTTTATGCCATGAGTTAGGGGACAGTGAATTTTCAAAATGAAAGTTTGCGTACGAATTGGGAAGGATCTTACAGAATCTCAAATTTATGTCAGCACTTGTTTCCATGCATCTGTAAGAACCAGAGTGTTGGATCAGAGAGTGAGAGGTTCTGATAGTCCATTTCTCTACCATCAAGCACAGCAGACTTCAAACCTCCTAGACAAGATGGCAATCCCTTCTGGAAGTATGCTGCAAGGAGCCTTGTAAAGGAGAGAAGCAGTCTGACATGGCTCATGTTTTTTCCCCCATTTAACCGGTAAATCACTGTTTTTATATCACTACAAAAATTGTTGGCATACAACCCTTTCTCTGTCTCGAGGCACAAGCGTATTCAATTAGTGGGGAGCCAGAACATTTGTTGTAATAGCTACTTTTAATTTCTTTTGTTGATACTGCTAAAAGAGTTAAACACTTGTATTCATCTCCTCCTAGAAGAGGGTCTCCATCAGGGAACAGTGAGGTAACATGTGTGGTGACAGCTACCTTAGTTACCTTGCTGGGAAAGAGATATGAATAATGTTTTTTAATCTTTCATCTATCAACTTTCTCACTTAAAAAATTACATACACACACACACACACACACACACACACACACACACTGTCTCTCTCTCTCTCACACACAGCCTGTTCTTGACAGGAGATCCTACAGACTATATTTTGCTAACAGTTTTTTTCCCATATTCATTATTAAATCAAATGGTACATTTACTTACATGGTTCTGAATAATGTGGAATTGCAGCATGAAATTTCTTATTGTTTATAATTTCACTTCTGAAAGCTCCAATCATGCATTCTTGAAATTTTTGTAAATGCTTTTAGCATTCATGTCGGTAGTTTTCATTTTCTTTCTTGGCTATTTGGCTGCTAAATCCCCCATTTCTAGTATTATCCTGGCTGTGTCTTGTATGCTACCTGCTGTATGTCAAAACAATTTTTGAAATGACATTTTCTAGTTGCACATTTTGAGCACTGCACAAAGGAGAATGGGATATAAAAGATGTTTGTCAATGTTTTTATTAACCAAAGACATTTTTTTAAATGTTCAGAATTTTAGCTGAAAATTATTTGAGGCAATCAATGACTTCACTATCCTACTAGGGCCAGTGTTATTAGTTTCAAAAAGTTGCATAAACAGGAAACCTCTTTACAACAGTCACATAGAATCATTCAGTCACGGGGTTAGAAGGAACTCATAGTCAATTTAGTACATGGGTAGCAATTCCTTCTACATCTGTAAGAATGAAAAATGTAGAGATTAATTCAGCAGTTAGTAACCTTTAGCATTACAAAACTAATGTACAAAGTGGTTTTTCTAAATTAGTCATGTTATAATTTATATCTTCCTTAAATTGCATAAATTAATAAATAACAAATTAATTAAATCTTACTTAAATCACAAGTAATATTCCTATTTTATAGATGAGGATACTGAAGTTCAGAGAAGTTCAATTATTTACATGGTTAGTAAATGTCAGAGCTAAGATTTGAATTCAGAATCTAATTTCACTGAACCAGAATTACTGTGAGATGCAATTATGATGATTGGTTTCTATTATCATCACAATAATCAAATTCAAATGGATCTGTGATCCATCCTATTAATATAGATACTCCAAATCTGTGGTGCAGATGACGAAACCATCCATGCTTGTCCAGTTGGTGTGACCCCTGTCCACATCCTGGCATAAATTCTCCTGGGAGGGGTCCACTCAATTTATTAGGTGCCCTCCTTGACTTATTTTGACATTCATAACAAGATTACTAGCAGAGCACATGGGATGTCCATCTCTTGTTTTTACTATATGGAACAGCTGATTTTTTTTCAATTATACATTTTCTTTGATGACAATGTTTACTCTGGTTCTTCCTCAAGGTGTCTTATATCCTGTACCATATTTTCTTTGTGCGACATTGACACTCAAATAGCTGTGTAAGGCCACTCTAAAGAACTGGAGAAAGGAACCATGAGAACAATTCCAGAATGCAGAGCCACAATTCTGGCAGAAAGAGGTGAGTTATGAGAAACTGTGAGGGTGAAAGATTTCCTTTATACTCATTCTGATGTGTGATGGCCAAAGACTGCTTGTGGGCAAAAAGATCTTAATAATAAGTAGAATTCAGGCTTGAGTTTATGACATGTATTTCATGGGGAAGGAATTGGTGGGTGTGGAGTAAGGAGAAAGGAATTAGATATGGCTAACATTAGAAGTAGGACAAATAATACTGATAAAAACTGTGTGATTTTAAGGGGTTCTGTCAGGATCTTTCTTCCATCTCTCACATTCACTACAAAACATATGTATCTTTTGCACTGATGCATGAAATTCTACTATTAGTGATAAATTCCTTTGTGAAAATCAATCCCTTTGCAAGCATTCCCTTTTAAATGTTAATGATTATTATTTAAATCATGGTGACCAGCTGTTCCCTCTCTCCACTAAAGAAAGAATAGGAATAAATCGTGGGTTAATATGAAGTGGGATGGATTGGACAATCTCTAAGATCTTTTCTAAGCCCTTTGCTATGATTCTAAAAGGCAACATCAGGGGGCTTAACTAGAATCAATCTAATCTTTGAGGACCTTTTGGATTATTGAGGCTGACTCCCAACTGGATAATAGCTTTGGATAATGTGCTAGACTTACATAAGTACCCTAGAACCTTTGTATCCAGAGTCCTTCAGGATCCTTCATTGACCCAGAATCAGTACTCATTTCTCTTAATATCACTTCTTCAATGTGGAACTGGTTGATAAAGGCTGTCTCCTACCTGAGTGACTGCAATATGGCTGAGGTGCGGAATATCAGAATCCTATAACATTGCTGTCCTGGATATAGGTGTTGTGTCAAAGGTTACATACAAGTTGAGTTGAAAAGAGAGAATTGTAGGAAAGGAAGCACAGATGGTCATGGTTAGTACAGATTTACACTGAGAAAAAGGAAGAGGGGCTGCATGGCTGAATCTGCAGAAGTGTCCATAAACCCAGAGTCCTATCGTATGTTGATGACTCTACAGCCAGCATAATGAATAAGTCCAAGAATCATTTGCAAATCTCCCTGCTGGCTACCTTGTTCCATCTACAGGAGGGATAGTTTTCCTAACCCTCCATGAGTTTTCTGCACTCCTCTCTTGCCAGTTGCTACTTTCCTCTTAGCATTTTTGAGAGATTGTCCTCATTACCTATGACAATGGAGATGGGGAGAACTGAATTTTGTTGCTGACACTGTGGGTTAGTGGAAAGATTTTGACTTAGAGGACAGGGAAGTTGTTTCTCTGACTCTGCTACTTATTACTAGACTTAGAGAAGTCATTTAATCTCTCTCAGACTCAGTTTCCTCATGTGTAAAATGATGAAGTTGGGCTACATAACTTCTAACGTTCCTTCCAGCTCAAAAATTCTAAAGTACCTTGTTATTTAATTTTAATTGAAAAACTTTGCTTTTGATTTGTGGCTCCTGAATAATCTATAAATAGAATGAGCAATTGAATGAATAGATGAAGAAAAGTAATGGAGTACTTATTTTGTTCCAGGTACAGTATTGTTGTATTGAATAGAAGTAGGAGCCTGAGCCATATTTGCATTATAAAGATTAACCTAAACCCCTCACTGAATCTGGGGCAGCTAGGGGCCCATTTGTAGGGTCTCTTGTTAAGCTTCAAATCTGCAAAGACACACACTTTTATCCATGTTGGGTATTTTTGGCTGTATTCCTGTTACAATTAAGCCAATAGGTTTTTAGAGTTGCTATGACTAAAAATTCATCCTGTGGACAACATGATGATGAACCTCTGAATTTAGCTAGGCTATTTCTTGGATTATAGAACCATTATGTGTCCCACAAACATGTTATTTTTATTAATTTCAGCCAAATTTATATGTAAATATGCCATAGGTTTGTAAAAATTTTGTTTATAGATGTCTTCTATTACCTCAACTGACTATAAACCTCTTAAGGTCTGACAATGCATATTCTTTTTCTTTGGTGTCCTCCCACAATGCCCAATTTACCTGCATACACAGTGTATACTCAATAAATATTGGCTGCCTGTACACTGAGCCATAGTAAATTGAAGCCCTGAAGACTTAGCTGTGGCTGCTTCAACCCATGGGTTTGTCTGTGTGTCTTTTGTTAGGGTGCTAACTAAAATGTAATAGAACAAATTCTGCCTTTGCAAACTCTCCTCTTTTCCAACTATGTTTCCTGATGTTTGTTTTTAAAGGAACCCTTCCACTGAAGATATTATTTTATAAGAATTTTTAGAGAAGAAATAGGAAATGACTCCTGCCAAATCTAATCATAAATCTAAGTGAGCCATATAACCTGTTAAAGGTGTGAATAGTTAATGTATGGCATTTAACGTTTATAGGGCACCTTCCAATATGAAGGCTATAAAAATACCACCTCATCTTAAGCTAATTTTCACATTGTACATATTCCTGACCACTTGTTTTGTCCAACTCTTTATGACCCCATTTGGGATTTTCTTGGCAAAAATACTAGAATGGTTTGCCATTTCCTTCTCCAGATAATTTTACATATGAAGAAACTGAGGCAAACAGGATTAAGTGACTTGCCCAGGGTCACACAGCTAGTAAGTGTCTGAGGCTGGATTTGAACTCAGGTGTTCCTGACTCCAGGCCTGGTGTTCTATCTACTGTGCCACCTAGCTGCCCCTACTAACCTTTAGCCAGTATTATATCTGTGCTTTATATTACCATGATTGCTTTGATGTTTAGGGTATACTAAGGAAGGAAAAAACACCCATCAGTATGTTTCATAAGGAAAATAATAAAAATAGAGCTAAAAAGGAAAGTTAAACAGTCTGTGAATTTCTAGGTTTACAATGGGAATGTTTAGATAATTGTTTTCAAAATGATTAGAGTGAAATTGTGTGCTTAAATGATCCAAGAAGTTTTTTTTGTGATGTTATCCTTGGAAATTCTGCCTGGGACAAAGTAACCCAATCTTTTTTTTTTTTTTGCCACCTGGTGCCCATTTAATGGCGGCTGTCTGCCAAGCTGAGAGCATTAAACTAATACTCACAAGACAACTGACCTCATAAAAAAAAGCCAAGTACATTAATCCCATGGTGAGCATTAATGAAAACAATTGCTAAAAACTTCACTAGGGAGCAAGTGTTAACTATCTGTAGGTGTGGAAACTTTTGATAGGTATTCAGAAGAGTGTGTACTTTTCTGATTGGAGCTGAAACATCGTTTGAAGTCTTACACTGTTTAATCAGAAAACCAAGAACTTTTCTCCTCTTTAACCTATCACTCGTGTATGTATGTGTGTGTGTGTGTATTTGTGTAAATATGTACACACCTTTCCATGTTACTCAATCACAGCTAAATCATATAATTAAGGCAAGAAATTACCTAACTGAAAGAGGGTTCAAAAATATTGGCCCTCATAAGAATCCCTTTTGTGAGAGTGTATAATTGATATCTGCTAAAAATCTTCATAAATAGCAAGTAAACATTCCCAGAACAAGACTTATGTCAATCAATCTACAAGGACTTATGAAACACTCTTTGCATACCACCATGCTAGGTGCAGAAGAGGCAGAGACAAAATTGAGACTGCCTCTGATCCCCAAAAGAACTTATATCTATGTGCTGGGATGGATTACCCTGGAGATATGGAGAATCTCCTCTGAGGATCTTAAAAACCAGATTTGATTGTCATCTGAAGGGATGGTCCCTCAATGTAGGCATCAGAGGAGGATGCTTTTTCAAGGTCTTCTGGTCTAAAGGATATCTTCTATCTCCTAGGCATAAATTCACCTAGAAAAACTCCAGAAAAATTATCAGGTTTCAATCTAGCTTTTTAAATGCTGCCAATGACACTAGCTGTCGAGTCAAAAAATAAAACAAAACAAAAAACTTTCCAACCAAATCAATAGCACTAGATACCAGTTTCTTTTTTCCCTCCATTTTTACTTTGAAACTTAGATGGATCTGTGTCCCTCCTTGCTCTCCAAATCTGTGTATACTTATCCTCATTCTGCTGTAAAGCCACCGCAAAGCCTCTATCCAATATATTGAAAGCCTTTACATGGTTTCAAGATTTTATGAAGGCACCCTGATATCTTTCCTTCTCTTCCCTTCTCTTTCTTGCCCTTTACTTTGTCTTGCCTTGCCTTCTTTCCTTTTTCACTGAACAAAAGCATTTTGTGGAAAAAAGGATTGGGGGTTTGAATCCTGGCTCTGACACTTATTGGTGGCAGTACTCAAGCAAGCCATTTAACTCAATAGCCTCCTTTTTCTCATTTATAAAATGGGATAATGATGCTTATACTACCTACCTCCCATGTCTGTTTTAAAGATCAAATGAGATAATGTATAAAATCAGTTAGGAAACCTTAACTGATATATAACTTAACTTATTATATATAAATGTGGACTAAAATAATCATAGAAATAGTTTAACTGAAGGAAGTAGATGTAGAAGTGGAAGAATATTGTAACTGAAAGAGGAAGATGTTGTTTTGTTAAAGACCCTAACTGTGTATTAAGATAAGCTTACGTAATACAATTTATTACCCAATCCTACGGGACTCTTTTCTTTTCTTTTCTTTCAAGACATTGTACCTAAAGAAATATTTCATATTCCAAATTGAATTTAACAAGCTTTAAAGAATTTTAAGCAATGTAGAAGATGTCTTTGTGGAAGGTATGTCTAAGTTTTGCCCTGGGTTCAGGTTTGAAATTCCCTACACAAGGTGCTCACTGATGAGGGCTGGAATTGAGGATGTGTCCTTAAAAAGTATGATATACCTTTGATAAATTTAATTTGAGAGGTATGAATTTGAACTTGTCTCTCCCTTCATATAATCCCCAATTAACATCTTATAGCTGATAGGGTCATTGCCCTTGGCTTTGGCCATTTAAAAAGGGGGGATGTAGAGTAGAAAAAACAAGGTAATAAGAATATAGATGAAAGGAAGACCATAGACAAAGTGAATCTGTGCAGGCACCTCAGAAGCCTATAATAATGATGGCAACAG